CTGCTGAAGACCCATTTCTGTGAACAATTTCTGAGTTCACTACCAGGCAGGCACTTTTTTTCTCCACGTATGGTTCCTCAGAATTTTCCAATTTTAGAGGCTCTTCAGTCTTTTATACAACGTAGTCGATCAAAGTTGTTCAGCTGAAGCCCCTCCAAACAGGAACACTGTTTAAATCTTGAGTTGCTCCCTTCGATGGAGAAGCAGAGACATATTTACCTAACAGAGAGCCTCCCGATCTCTGCTATCATCTCCAGTCAATTTTCTTTTTAGAGAAAGTGTTTTGAAGAGTGTCTTGTTGTCATGCCCAATTGTTTTCACGTGTAGAGCACAATGAGCTACAACAGAAATTGGAAAAAAAAGAAAGAGAATGTGATGCCAAGACCCAAGAGAAGGAAGAGATGATGCAGACGTTAAATAAAATGAAAGAGAAACTTGAAAAGGAGACAACTGAGCATAAGCAAGTCAAGCAGCAGGTGGCGGATCTCACGGCGCAGCTCCAGGAGCTCAACAGGGTGAGGGCCTCAACCGCCGGCCGGGTCTCCCTTTCACCAGCAGCTGCCAAGGCCTCGCTTATCCCAGAGCCCTTTACCCTTCAGCAGACAGCTTCTGACTAGGGAAATAAGACCTGACATGGCCCAGGACCTAACAATAGCTATAAGGCTTGCCCTCTCCTCTGTCATGTCTAATGTTTACATTTTTGAATACAAATCTTTTACTAAGAGCAAAGGCAATCACATTAGCTTCTTAAAATTAATACTGATTCAATGAAAACCAACCTATATGATATTGTATGAGATGTGAGTGCTTTGTAGACAAGCACTCATGTATCAAATATAGAGGGATGACTTAATAGAGTCTGTGAAGGCCCTGAAACATCAATTTGACATACTAGGCTTTTAAGCCCACATTCTCAGAAGTGTGGATTGCTCTGTAGTATACGTTTTAGGCAAGGTTACAGACTCTCAAAACCATCCAGTGAATTGACTTCTTCCATTGCCTCTTGTCTTCCCTCTTCTATTTTCAGAGGGCTGTGTGTGCTTCAGTTCCAGGAGGCCCCTCGCCTGGAGCCCCAGGGGGACCCTTTCCTTCCTCTGTTCCTGGGTCTCTCCTTCCACCCCCACCACCCCCACCTCACCTGGGGGGAATGATTCCTCCCCCACCACCTCCCCCACCTCCAGGTGGCCCTCCTCCACCCCCAGGGCCTCCTCCCTTAGGGGGAATCATGCCACCTCCTGGTGCTCCAATGGGTCTGGCACTCAAGAAGAAAAACATTCCTCAGCCTGCAAATGCCCTGAAATCCTTCAACTGGTCTAAGTTGCCCGAGGTAAGCCATTTGTTCTAATTTTTCTTCTAATGGATATCATTAGCAGTTCATTGTGTTGTCACCAAAGGTAAAACAGCCCTGGCTGTTAAATGATTTGGTTTTCTAGTGGGGACTCAAAGCTTCTAAAGTAAATGACACATTGTGTAAAACCAACTCATTTTGAGCATCTGGTGGAATGAAAAATTTGAGATAGCAGTCTTACAAAAAGAATTATTCCTGTTCATTTTGTTTATAACTATAAATCATAGCATTTATTAACTTGCTGTTTCTAGAACAAACTGGACGGAACAGTTTGGACGGAAATTGATGATACAAAAGTCTTCAAAATTCTAGATCTTGAGGACCTGGAAAGAACTTTCTCTGCCTACCAAAGACAGCAGGTAACAGCATTACCCTCAGGTGCCAAAAAAAGTAGTTAAAAGAAAAAGAGAGAGAGAGTGAAAAAAAGAAAGTCTTTGTGCATGATCTCTGGACCATCTGCCATGACCATGATAAGACAAGCATCTTAGTTCCAGGCTGTTTGGCCTACGTTGGTATGCTCCAGGAAAGCAACATGACATGCGTGTCCACGTGTATGTGCGAGTGCCTGTCAATGTATGTGTGAGCAGTTGAAGGAATATAAGCTCCTTTTTGGGGAGCTTCATATCCTGGCATATGTCCAAGACCTTGTCTCCATTGATGTAAAGAGTTCTGTATATTATTATCCCTTGTGTTTGGTCAAAATGGGTCACCAGGAGAAAATACTAGTAGGAGAGTTATAGAACTCATATTTCACCTCTCAGTGATTGTTTCTGAAGCCATTTTGGTTTATCTTAATTTTTAAAAATTATGTATCAAATGGTTACTATCAGAAGCAGAGTTTTTTGGAAATAGATGGAAGTCTGGGGTTTGGTAAATGACTGCAATGTGACACCTACATAGAACCCAGAGAGAAATTTTAACCGTATGTCATGAACATGATAGGCTCCGAAGTAGGGCTGAGAGAGTGAAGAGAGATGACAGTGATACAAAGGCCAGAGAAACTACTGAAGAGTGAGCACAGCCTTCATAGAAGTCGCGAGAACATGTGATGTGGTGCTTGCTGGCCATCCCCAATGATGAAGCCAAGTGCTCGGGATCACTCTGAGCCTTGGTCACATCAGTGCACGGTACCTCTTATTCCTCAAGAGGGCAACTTAATGCAGTCTCTTAAGGGTGGACCAGAAGCAGTCACAGCAAGATGTGTTTCATAACAGAGAAAGGTGGAGTAGGATCCCAAAGTGTCCATCGGTTCTCTGGAAGGAAAAAATGGAATCCAGGAGTGTGAGAAGAAAGATTCTTCAGGATGACTAAAGGAAAGGAATGGAGAGATCAGAGGGTATCTTAAACAGGAATACACAAATCACTGGACATTTATACAGGGACTTTCCTTGGGCTTTTCTGGGAGGCCCTAAACTCAGTCATGAATCACATCCAGGGTGGAGCATCCTCAGACCAGCAGTGGACTTCCTAGCCATCTTACTTGGCTTAGTTCTTAAGAAAGACTCTCAGAAAAGAGAGAGTGAACTCTGAGGGAGAAGGTGGACTGAGGCTAGAGGGGAAACAAAAGCCAAGGGCTTTTTACATTTTCCAGGTGGTCTTCCTTGCATCTGAAGTGAGGGACCGGACTAGTATGTAGCCAGAATATTTTTCTCTAAGAGAGCGAAAGCTTCTCTGCAGTAGTTTTGTGCTAGTTTATTAAAGTACAGAGAGGGTTTGGCTGCCATGGTAATGTGAACCCTAAAATAAGAGTCCTCAGCTGCACATACCCCCATTAAGTAAGAAGGCAAACTTGTGCCATGTTATAAACCAAATAAAGGAAAATAGAAAAGAAGATAAGGCATTGTTTCACAGAAAGTGAGATTCTTTATCTTCCAAAGGACAAAGGGTACGTTTAGGTCTCTCATGCAGCAGGTGCTGTGGCCAGACTCACTTTTGATTAGCAGCAACCTGCCTCTTATCTCTGCTGTCCCTGGAAGGTGTCTTCTGGGCCTTAACTTGCAGTCATACATTTTAGCAAATGTCCTGGTAATTCAAATGATCTGACCTGGATAAATATCCCAGTTGCCTTCCTATTTCCATTTCAATCACTGATACTGGTCCATGTGGTTGGTTGCATGGATAAAGATTTGGAAACTTAGACAAGTAATTCAAAGGAAGGGAAAGCAGCAGTTATTCCAAATGATGCTGTTCAAGTCTGAGCATGTGAGTTGGCTTTATTATGAAGACTAGTGGTTGAAAGACCCAAGTTTACAAGACTCATAATTAACTGGCT